ATATATTTTTAATATTATCTATAGCAGTGGTTCTCAACCTTGGCTGAACATTAGAATCACCTGGGAATCTTTTTAAAATCCTGATTCCTGGCCCTCATCCTCCAGAAATTATTTCTTTGTTATGGGGGGGGGGCATAACATTAGTAACAGAGAAACAGAATTTCCAGAGGATGAGTCCTAGAAATCAGGATTTTAAAAAGATTCCCAGGTGATTCTAATGTGCAGCCAAGGTTGAGAACAACTGATCTATAGATGTAGTATTTCCAAAGGTAGCTTCAATAATAGATCCATTACAAATCATTTCACTTCCATGCTCCGCTCTGAGGGCGGGTTCCTGCCTGAAACCTCGCCCTCCAGGAAACAGCTGGGGGAGGGCGCAGGTGTTTCCAAGATGACCCCTGCAGGACCGACTTCCTTCCGGTTGGTCACAGTTCTGGCCATGATGTTACCCCCAGGGCTTTTATATAAGTAGATACACAAGAAGACATTGAACCATTTAAAGCCTTAAAGACATTGCAAATATGACTTACTAATCCTCATAAAACTCAGAAATCCACTGATAGCTGATAGTACCAACAATAAACTAGGTCTATGTCAGAATATGTGTTGGTGACTCATGAAGGTGTATTCTCATATTTACAAAAAATGTTCTTACATTGATTAATTTGAAATATCTATAACATTGATTAATAGACAGTTTTAAAAAATATTTTGAGAGATAATTTTAATATAATCAAGTATATTATTAATTTTCAAACTGATATCCTGGGAAATAATTTTATTATGTAAATTACTCTGTGTGATCCATGCAGAAACTATATTCTTCTCTTACCTAAATATAATTACTTAACAGTGGGATTAATATATAGTGAGAAAAAACTTTAATCATTAAAGAATCCAAGTGTAATAGATTAATTTTATGTGTTTTTTTCACTACCAAAACTTAGAGAATCTAACTTTCAGAATTTTATCTCTTTTTAACTTAATAATGAGCATTCCTTATACTCAACTAGTATATTATTTAACCAGCTAACAAATATCATCCTTTAAAAAGCAGCACTTGAAAATTTAGAATTTTGATATTTATCAAATATATTATTTATTTTTCTTAACATTTTATAAGATAAATGTTTTCTTTGTAAAAACTAATTGGGGTGATTAAAGAAAAGGTGCTGCTTTTCACACATGCAGAAACACTATTTGTCAACACACGGACATGTGCATGCATGTACTAACATTAAATTTTGATTTGTGAATATATGGAACCCTTGAAAAGGACTCTCTCCTATTGTAGTTATTTATTCACCTGTTCTGGTTCATGTTAATAATACATATATATTTTATGTAAACTTCCTTTACATCTTCCATCAGTCAACAGTGGGATTTCTTTCTAATTTAGAAGGAAGCTGTAAAACCATAGTTTCCATTATTTAAAAGTGAGACCTTTGTTATTAATTAAACCTGAACTATCTTTTTATATATTAATTTCTAGTCAATTACAGATTAATATTCTCCATATTGAAAACAAAGCATTTGTCTTTCTTTTTTAATAATATATCCAAAATGCAACCACATTCATATTACACTTTATTGTTCCTCAACATCAGACTTTTTAATAAGTAACAAAGTTCTGAGTTAAAATCATTAAAGCTTTTGGGGTAAAATATATTCTTTAAATAAGTAAAACTTTACACAGGCAATATTATAAAACATATTTTTGCTTTGGTTTCTCCTCATATTAGTTGCTAAGCATTTTGTTTGTTACACATATGGTATTAAATAATAGACATTACAACTCTGGTGGCACAGTTGGTTGGAGTGCCATCCCATACACAATTTATGGTTGCAGTTTCAATTCCCCATCAGGGTACACACCAAGGTTATGGATTCCATCCACACCAAGGTTATGGAGGCAACACCTTGATCTTTCTTTCTCTCTCTGCCAATAAAAACATATCTTTGGTTGAGGATTTAAAAAACATACAGTATAGAATGTTTGCGACTGACAGGGACAATATAAACATGCCATATTAAATATGCAAAGAGAAATACTAATTTACGGTGGAAGCATATTTAAGAAATTAATTTATAGTAAAACCATATGTAAATTTATCACATTTTGTGATCTTTGAAGTTATTTTGATTTCAGGTTAGCATTAATATTGTTTCCAATTTTGTGTTTAATTGTTTCCTCTTTAAATCTGTAATTATTCTATAAGAAATCATTATAAATGTATTGAATATTAACTTATCTTGTAAACAGAGTTACAAAAGCCATGGAAGTGTTCAATCCCTTAACTTTCCCTGTGGTTGCTTTTCTTTTGTAATTCTCTTAAAATTTTTATACATTAAAGGTATAAAGAAAATGAAGTCGTGTGTTTTGAATATGTTATTATTTTCATATCGCCACCAGTAGCAGACAATATTAACTTGAAAAAGGCAAATATAAATTCATTCCTCTTAACAGTGTTTGTGTATCTGTGTTTTCTTTTAGTCAATCTGCTGGATTCCAAAACGATTCAAGGGGAGCTGGGCTGGATCTCTAGCCCATCACATGGGGTGAGTTCAGTAAACTATTGAGAAGGAACATGGTCCTGTCCATTACCCCGCATAGAGAGCAGACGGAACTATTGGCATGCTCTCTTAGGCAAACTCCTGGAATTCTGATGACCCATTTATCAATGTTTTTAACACATGGACAAAGAGAGACTAATATTAGTGCCCAGTGGAACTACTGAGAATTTTGAAAGTATTTCTTTTCCTTCTGAATTTATCAATTGCTTGAATGTATTGAACATTAATTATTATTAGTATCAGGCAGATGATCTAGGTGTGACCATGTTTTGTGATGCGATTGGAATAAGAGAATTGAGAAGGCAGTCTAAGTTTTAACTAATGTAGAAAATGTATAGTCCAGACAGTGTCTCTCAGTGGTTGAGCATCAATCTATGAACCTGGAGGTCACGGTTCTATTTCTGATCAGGGCACATGCCTGAGTTGTGGGTTCGATCCCCAGTGGGGGCATGCAGGTGGCAGCAGAGCAATGATTCAGTCTCATTATTGATGTTTCTATCTCTCTCTCCCTCTCCTTTCCTCTCAGAAATAAACAAAAAAATATTTGGAAAGAAAGAATGAGAATGTGTACGTACAGATAGTAGTCTCCAGAGCTGTAGCCATAAAATATACCTTAGTGACTGCTCCAAGTAGTATAGGGTGTATTAAACCCATGCTGCCTTAATTTCTTTATTTAAATTATTTGCACCTTGTCTAGTTCAATTTAAAGCTGGGTATATTTTATTTAGAAAAAACCTGATGCAGTTACATTTTAAACTTCTTAAATATCTTTAATACTTTACCTGCCAGACACAGATTACTAAGGTGTGTGACATTTTGGTGGCCTGAATATTTATAAAGAGCCTTTTGTGTGATAAAATTTTCTTTTTTATTTTTTCAGAAAAAAAGGGGCATAGATTTGAAAAATTCTTGTGCCTACAAAACTGTGTAATAAATGACCACGCATGCCCTTTTTATTCTCTTCCAATTATAGCCTGTAGAAAACACAAAATGTTACTTTGAAATATTTGATAGGAACACATTTATGCATTCCATATTCTTCTATGCTGGTTCTCTTTTCTAAGTAAGTGTAAGAGGTTACACTTACTTCCACTTGGTATTGGTGTTCAGTCTTTAGACTTTGGTACCTAAACGTACTAATTTTTATGGTACCATCAACTTTTTCACCAACGGATGTTTTGCATCAAGGATACTTCATCTATCTGTCATCTTTGTATCTGCTTTTCTTCCTGGTACACCTTGACATTGACACAGTGCCAAAACCTATCACATAATCAGGCCATGGTTAGTTGCTTCAGAAGGGAAAGGATGAAGGAAGCCAGGATTTGGTTTTCCCATAGGTGTAAAAGGATTCTAATGATTAGGATAAAAGCACATCCTGGGTTGTCATAAAGAGTGAACCAAAACTCAGCATTGAGCTGGAAAACTCATTTAAAAACGCATCATCCAAAAGTCAAAACTAAGTTTAATTTTAGAAATTTGAGTTTATTACTCTACCAGATAGCATACCATAGAAACCTGCTACTTAAGGGTCTACAAAAAGCCAAAACCACAGTGACATTTTACTAATAGATACTTATATGTGTATTTATTTTAAACAACAAGAAATTAACTTGTATGTCAAAGCCACAAGTGGTCTACCTCCTGTTTTTGTGTGTGTGTGTGTTTGTGTGTGTGTGTGTGTGTGTTTAAGATGGTATAAGGAAAATAAAACACGTTTCTATATATTGACAATTTGGGGAAATGTGTTCATTTCACTTTGTTAATCTCATAGACTTTGTGATAAAACAAAGTTGGCACGTCTACTTCCAGAGACATGTTGGGAGATGCGGTGTCCTCGGACCTTGTCACACAATGTGTGGTGCAAGCATCAGCGTTCAACGTCAAGGCCTAGGTGGTTCTTAGAAATGAAATTCTCAGGTCTCACTCCAGGCTTTCTGAGTCCGAATCTGCACTTTAACATGGTCCCCAGGTGATTCCTAAGCACATTAAGTGTAAGAAACACTCCTCAGAGTAATTTACCTCTTGACTTTTTCCATCTCTCATCCAATTTCCGACCTCCCTCTGCCTAGGAACAGCTTTCAGCTTCTCTGGCTTACTGTTGCCTCACAGAGCAGAGCTCAGGCTCTTCATTGCCTTCCCGGTTGATCTTGCAGCTGTGTGTTCCCTCTTTCTGGTGCAATAAATAGCCTAAAACAGCTGGCCAAGCTCTGCAAGCTTATCATTAAAATTTGCAAGGACAAGAAATGAACATTTCCCCAGCAGGTCATGATATTTATAATACCTCAAGACCCCAACACTACACACACACACACATACACACACACGAAAGTCAAATAGTGTATTTTTTCTTTAAATTTTCTCTCTATATTATGTTAACCACAATGTCCATGAGGAAATAAGTACTGTGGATTTAGAAAATGTTAGATGGGTATTCATTTCTTCTTGAGAAACTGATGACATTTTGAGTGAAACCCTGGCACAGCCAATTTAGCTTTGGTACTTAACGTCTTTGCTTGTACAATTTTGTGCTTTTAGATTCAGTTACTTATTTTAATGTTAAATTGGCATTTTCAATATGACAAGGATTGATGAGTTTTGAGTTTTCTTGTTTATAAAAAAGATAGAACAATTTGATGTCTTTGCTGCAAACTTTTCCTTGAAAAAGAAGACATGTAATAGCTGGAAACAACTTTGAAGTTTGTATTGTTTTAATTAATGAACACTAATAAATACAGTACATCTATTTTTAAGTTAATAAAATATGAATGTAAACTCTAGAAGATAAATTACAATAACGATGTCACACCTTATTAATCACTGAAAATCTGTTCTCTTTTTTCTTATTCATCTTTTTTTTTATGTTTCTGGAATATTTAATTTTTTAATTAAATTTTTATTCTTCAGATTATTACAGTTGTTACTCTAGAAGAATTACAATAACGATGTCACACCTTATCAATCACTGAAAATCTGCTCTCTTTTTTCTTATTCATCTTTTTTTTATGTTTCTTCTGTATTTAATTTTTTAATTAAATCTTTATTCTTCAGATTATTACAGTTGTTCCTCTCCCCCCCCCCCCCCCCCCCCCCCCCCCCCCGCTCCCCCCCCCCCCCCCCCCCCCCCCCCCCCCCCACCCTTGGCAAGCACTAGTTTGCTTTCTGTCTCTAGATTTGCCTATTCTGTACATTTCATATATGTAGAATCATATAACCTATGGTCCTTTGTGACTGGGATATTTTCAAGATTCATCCATCTTGTAGCATGTGCAAGAACTTCATTCCTATTTATGGCCAAATAATGTTCCATTGTAGGGACAGACCGCATTTGTTTATTCATTCATCACTTAATGGACATTTGGGTTTTTTATACTTTTTTTTTTTTTTACTATAGTGACTGTGAACATCTGTGTACAAGTTTTTGTGTGAACATATGTTTTGAAGTCTCTCGGGTATATACCTAGGAGTGGAATTTCTGAGTCAGATCATAGCTGTATGTTTAAAATTCTGAGGAACTGCCAGACGGCTTTCCAAAGTGGCCGCACCATTTTACACGCTCAGCAGCAATGTAGGAGGTTCCAGTTTCTCTACAGTAACACTTGCTCTTGTCCCTTTTTAAATTGAATTTATTGGGGGTGACGTTGGTCTTTTGTTCAATTATAGCCATTCTAGTGGGTATGACGTGATATCTCATTGTGCTTTAATCTCATTACTTTACACAATTGTTCCCCTTCTTTCTGACTTTCTAATTTTTGTTTAAATCCTACACATCTTTACATAGGTGTAGTGCACCGCGCCCCCCCCCCCAAATTAGCTTAATTTCTTAAACTGTTTTGGGTGCAGCCACTCAGGAGACATCACTGTAATCTGATACTCTTGAGAAGGGGGTGCCCGGGATCTTGAGAGGCCTCTTGGGTGTGGGGCAGAGAAGGTTGAGGTGTCCGCTCTGCACCCACAGGCTACTGCTACTATAAGCTCCAGGGTGCCTTCTCCTCAGATCGCCTGGGCTGTTTCACCAAGTGCCTGAAGCCGTGCAGGTGAGTGTCCCCTTCGCCTGGACACAGATTGGGCAGCGGGCTGCTTGGCTGGGTGGAATACGGGTACTCAGCTAAGCCTTTGAGTGGGAGAGCCCCACCCCTATTACTGAGTGCCTCTCTCCATTCCCAGTGTGACCAGTTACAAGCTCTCTGCAGGTTACTCGCGATGGCCCTCAGTGACATCCCAGGTAAAGTGGGGAAGGGCAAGGACAGGGGATGTGTGTATGACCCTGTGGTCTTCTCTGGGTATATGTATGTGGGTGTGTTTGACCCCACCCCCAACTCTGTAAGCCTGGAGAGTATGGGTGGCCCCCTTGACATTCCAATTCTCTCCCAGGACTGGGTCTTCCGGATGTTATCCCTACAGAATAATTACACCATCAAAAACAAGAGGTCAGTCCTACCCTGGTCCCAGCCCCAAGAAAGGAATCCTTGGGAGGAAAATCAAATCTGGAAAGAAGGATTGATACAGTTGATTAGAGGAGGGTGTTTGTGAGGTTCCGAGAAGTTAATCCTCTGCCATTTCTTCCCACCCTCTCCCCTTCTCCAAAGAAACGGAGTTGCCAAACTCAATGTCTTCTTCAAGGAGCTGAACTACAAAACCAATTCTGAGTCTCCCTCCGTCACGGTACGTCCTGCCTCACTGAGCCTGTGATTTTCTGGGGGGTCAGGGAAAACAAGGGGTTGCCTTTGTTGGGCCAAGGTGTCTGGGCCTTGAAGGTAGGGGACCAAGGAGAGGGGTGAGGGGGAGAGGGTTGGAAGAAGGGGAACTTGGCTGGGGGATGAAGCCTCTTGGGGTAGTGGGAGGGAAGGGTGTGCCAGGTGGGTATGACTTGGACAGAAGGGGTCCAGGGCGCCACCGAGAGGCTGAGAGGGGTGGCTGAGGACCTCAGCTGAAAGTTTGTTCCCTTCTACTAACTGCTCCCTATTTCCTCCCACCCCCTAAGCCCTGGCACTCACTTTTCTACTCTCTCTTTTTATAGGTGTGACTTTTTTTTAGATTCCAGTAAAAGTGATGCCATACAGTATTTGTCTTTCTGTATCTGGCTTATTTTCCTTAGAATAATGCCCTCAAAGTCCATCTATATGATCACAAATAACAGGGAAAATCCCGTGTTTGTTTTGTTTTGTTTTGTTTTTAATGTAAGGTAATGACTCTGAATGTGATGAGGAGGTAAAGAAAGAGTTGGTTTTGATTTTCACCTGTGGGGAGATCTGCAGTGTCTATAGATATTGCTGGTTGTCACAAATGCGGAGGTGGGGCACTACTGGTTTCTGGTAGGCAAGGCCAGGGGTGCTTAAACATCTTACACTGAACAGGGCAGCCCCCACAACAAAGAATGATCTTCTGTAAAATGACAGTGCCCAGTTTAAGAAGCCCTTAGGGCAGGGGTGGGCAAACTTTTTGACTCGAGGGCCACAATGGGTTCTTAAACTGGACCGGAGGGCCGGAACAAAAGCATGGATGGAGTGTTTGTGTGAAATAATATAAATTCAAAGTAAACATCATTACATAAAAAGGTACGGTCTTTTTTTTTTTTAGTTTTATTCATTTCAAACGGGCCGGATCCAGCCCGCGGGCCATAGTTTGCCCATGGCTGCCTTAGGGGATCAATATCGGTGCTCCATTAGAAGCTATAGTCACTATAAAGGTCCAGGAGACTACCAGCAACTTCAAGTTCCAACCATAACCCCATCAGAAGCTTTAAATTCCAAATCTGTTGGAATAAATATTTAAAAAAATGATTCATTCTAACCATAGATCTTTCATGAAATGATAATATCACCTGAGTTTTATACAAATAATTAATATACTGGAGATGGAAATGGCCAAAAATGGCTCATTCCTTCATATTCACCCACCCCCCTGGAATTTTTATTCTATTATTTCACCAGAGACATATCAATGCATAAAATTTTACAATTAACCTACGTGATTTTCTTGGGAAGAGTATTTATATCTCTATTTTTATGTGGTGCTTTGAAACTTAGGAGGAAACTTGGTAGGATGATATAATATTATTAGGCCTGGAACAAATTTTGAAGTAAGTATCTGGAAGGAAATTTAATGAAACTTTGGTTTTCTTGAAATGAATGTCATGAAAATAATATTCAAATTTGTAAACTGAAATTATCAGGCAGTCATAAGTAGCAATTTATTTTTCAATAATAGTGTTTTATTTAACATGAACCTTTTCTACCACTAAGTTTGTTCAGTTTAGTAAAGCAGACACAGCAATTACCTTCTTTGGACTTAAACTACGAGTTATAATATTTAAATTCTGGACTAATTTTATTTAGTAATTTCAGTAAATAATTTAATAGTTTATATATTATTAGAGGTTGAATAACACATATAAAAGCCCTTATATATTGTTGAATTACAACCCAGAAAAATCTTTTGCTTACAGATGACTACTAGGTACTTAAATAGGTAGGTAGGTAGATAGATAGATTAATTGATAATGTCAATCTATGAAATAAACTTTCTTAGTCTACGTATCATTACAGAGGAGGGAGCAGAGGCAAGTATAGGTACATAGTGTTATCTTCAGATAGTATTAACATGCTGATTAAATAGAACAGAGGAATCATGAGCCTTGTCTCAAAGAAACTCTCTTGAGGCCCAGCCAGCCTGGCTCAGTGGTTGAGCATCAACCCATGAACCAGGAGGTCACTGTTCGATTTCCAATTCGGGCACATGCCTGGGTTGCAGGCTCCAAACCAGTGTGGGGCATGCAGAAGGCAGCCTATCAGTGATACCCTCTCATCATTGATGTTTCTATCTCTCCTTCTCCCCTCGTCTCTGAAATCAATAAAATATATATTTTAAAAAAGAAACTCCCATGAGGAGAAGAAAATGAGGAGTTGGTTAGGGGAGTGTAGAAAAAGCAAAGTCTGAAAGGAATTATTCATGTATATTTGCAGTTCTTAGAAATAATTCTCAAAATTAGCAATTGTGGAATTATTTTCTACCTTCTGCATCCTGATAGAATCCTATATAATAAAAGGCTAATATGCAAATCGACCAAATGGTGGAACAACCAGTCGCTATGACACACAGTGATCACCAGGGGGCAGATGCTCAATGCAGGAGCTGCTCCCTGGTGGTCAGTGCACTCCCACAGGGGGAGTGCCGCTCAGCCAGAAGCCCTCATCACGGTTGAGTGCGGCAGAGATGGTGGGAGCCTCTCCCACCTCTGTAGCAGAGCTAAAGATGTCTGACTGCTGGCTTAGGCTCACTCCCCCCTGGACATCCCCCAAGGGCTCCCGGACTGCGAGAAGGCACAGGCCAGGATGAGGGACCCCAGCCATATGCACATTAGGGGCGACCAGGCATGCAGGCAGAGGCAGTTAGGGGCGATCAGGCAGGCAGGCAGGTGAGTGGTTAGGAGCCAGTGGTTTTGGATTGCAAGAAAGATGTCTGACTGCAGGGATGGGGCCTAAACCGGCAGTCGGACATCCCTGAGGGGTCCTGGATTGGAGAGGGTGCAGGCCAGGCTAAGGGACACCCCCGTGCACAAATTTTGTGCATCAGGCCTCTAGTACAATCTATAATATTAAAAGTGTAATATGCTAATTAGACCGGACATCCTTCCAGACCACCTTCCAGATGAAGCCGGGGCTGCGAGGGAAGCCCAGGTCCCAGGTGCCAGAGGAAAGCCTGTGCTGGCAGCTGGGGGAAGGAAGGCCTACTCTTGCATGAATTTTGTGCATCGAGCCTCTAGTATTTTATAACCAGGTCAAATATCTTAGTTTCTAAATGGAGGCTATAGCAATGCATAATTGTATTCTACAAAGATATTTGTATTTTCCCAGTTTATCTTTTTTGTGCTTTAGCATAGATGATGCCAAAGGTAATAATTAGAGTAGTGAAATAGAATAAGCACATTGTTTAAAATCAGGACATCTGAATGTGAATTCTGGCTCCACCATTTATTGCTGTCTGATCTGATGCAGGCCATTTAACCTCTGTTAACATTTATCCTCACTTTTTAAAAAGGCATGACAGTAATTCTAATGTCACAGCACTTGAGAATAAATGAGATTTGTTTGTATATGTCTATATTTCTACCCACAAATATATATGCACAGCATATATAGCTGATAATGCATGTGAAAGAGCTATGCAAATGTAATTTCTTATTCTTAGACAAATATTTTGAGGTTTTTCCATTCTAATCCAAGATATTTGGCAAAATTCACTGATATATCTTCTTAAATCTCAGTATACACTTGATGCATTGCATGCATATAAGCATAACCAATGGACATAAGACACTGGGGGGTAGGGGAGGCCAGGGTATTGTCAAGGGCAGGGGAAAAAAAAGGACACATATGTAATACCCTTTGTAATACTTTAAGCAATAAAACAATTTTAAAAAAGGGAAAAAACAAAAACTGATAGTATTACCTGAGGTGCCTGCAAACACCTCTTCTCTGTTAAGTTACCAGACATTTCCTTTGATATCACATGGTTGCTGTTCCACTGAATCTGTGCAGACCAAAGTTTACATTTTAATTGAGTCAAACTATGTTTTTTGGGTAGTTAATTCATGCATTTAAAATTTAGTAATGAGAATTTCCTCAAGGTATTAATATTTCTCCTTCGTTGAGACTTGACTCTTTCCTATGTATGCTCCTGCCACTCTCGAACTAGTATATAACACCTGTAAAGGATTCTAGCTTGTTCTTTGTTGTGTCTCCACAGCTTAATACAATTATTTCATTGATATTTATCTCAGTCAGGAAACTGAAAGCTCTTTAAGGCCAATTTCTTTTTCATTCTTCTCATTTTGAGTTCCTGGATTAGTTGCTCATACATTACAATTAACTGAATAAATGAATAATAAAAGCTTTCCAAAACAAGAATTGATAATTAGGTAACACTGATTTTGTATTAGTTGAGAAAAATTTTATCATTTCCAATTTGTTGTTTAAAATGGTGTAATTAAATAATTTCACTCTCTTTCAACTGCATAAAATTAAGTGACATTTTAATATATACTATATGTGTGTAATACATATGTATATGAGTATACATTTTATACATATATAAAATATATGACTATATTAAATATAGTATTATTTTTTTATACTAGAAGAGAGCTATTTAGTTCAATGTATTTAGAAAATACTACCAACTTGTGAATTGGGAAGTTAGATGTAAAGAAAACAAGCTAGAGATAGCTCTATATTGAAAATTATATTGATTGCTGCCTAATAGTAAAAAGCCAGAATCCGGTAAATTAATTCCATTTAAAAATAGAAACGTTTAGAATTGAATGAATCATAGAGATTAATGTAAATAACAAAAATACTACCTAGAACAAATCATTACTTTACTATTCTCCAGTATAGTGTAATTTATGTTCACTATTGGAATTGTTGCAACTTGTGAAGTGTGGATCATAAAAGTCTTATCTACTGGATTTCTAGCTTTCACTTTGTAAATGGTGTCTGAAATGCAGGAAGACTATTTTGATAACTGGGTGTCAACAATAACCACCTGGGATTCAGCCTTTATGAATCACAGTCCAAATTCTGCTTCATATGCTGAATATGCAGTACAGGAAAATCAAACTTTTGACATGAGATATGTGATTCTTGTCATTTGAATTTTTTCTGCCTGGAATGAGCAGTGCTACATATTTATACATGTCACTTTCACCCATCGTGCTGACCTTTCAAGGAAGGATGTCTGATCAAATTAGAAAAACATGGCAAAGTTTTTCAGTTTTCTTTAACCTTTCCTTGAAAGAAAATGCACCTTACAAGAATGAGATATGTTCATGAGTGAAAGAAATCACATTTAATTTAGAAAAATTAAAATCTTATATTGTATTTGTTTTAGCAGAATTTTTCATCAGTGCTGTAAAACAAATAGAAACCAGTTTTCATGGCTGTTGTTGTATATTTCTATGTGAATCCTCATCACATCTTCAAACAGTGTTTATTTATATTTTGGGGGTTGGATTAGAATTTTTAAAATATGACATGTACTGTACTTTGCTTCTTTTACTTTGATGTACAGCTTGTGGGATTTAGAGCAGAGAAGACGAAACATATTTGTATGGGTTTTGTTTAGTTCGGCTTTACTCATAAATTTGTGCTACATGATCTTCACTTAGCATGCAGTAACTATAAAGTTAAATAAATTCTAAGATATATTTAAATAATTTTATTTCTATTTGAATGTTTAACTAGTACATAGATTCACTGTGATCATTTATGATTTGTTTTTGAAGTAACTTTAAAAATTTTGAATCAAAGACAAACTTGTGCTTCCAGTGGTTTCTCATATTGATAGAATTTTAAAAACAAAACTTTTGAAAGCAAAATTTGTTACTCTGTGTAACTTCAAATAAGTGTACTTTTTGTTAAAAAAGGAATGGAAAACAAAGAGTAAAATAAACCAAAATATAAATATGAAGCTTTAAAAAGAGTATGGCTTTCATACTCCTATGCAAAAATAGTACATACTTGTTTCCATATTGCTAAGAAATGACTACTTTCTTTAACATTTCAAAGAATGTATTTAGAATAAACACTGTTTTCAAGCTTCCAAGTTTTCATTTGAATATAAAATATAATTGCAACATAATTACTCCAATGGAAAGGAGTTTCAATTCTAACATTCCATTAAGTGCAATTTTGATGGGAATTTGTCAAAATAATTATTTGCTCCAAAGATTTGCTCATTTATTTTCTCCTTTTAAAAATTTCATAAATTGGTGGTTTTCACCCTTAGTTTTATTATTCTCTGGTGGTTAATTTATTTTGAAAATCTTTAACAAAGGAAATTAAAAATTGCCTGTAAAAATATGGAGTGAAACACTTTTTAAATAAGTCCCATGCCCCAAATGATAGCCAATGGCCCTGAAAACATTTAAAGGTTATATTTACAATAAAAACCACACGGGGTATTTATTGGACCTTAATAGTCTGTTGATTATCATCAGTTTGTCAGTTTTGTTTTGTTTTTGTATTTTTTCTGAGAATGATACTCACTTTATTCAGGAAGTATTATATGAATAAAAAACTTTATCAATGTAGTATTTGAAGTCTTGGGAGTTAATAAAATAATTTATCCCTGTTCCATGAGACATAAGAAAAAAAAACATCAAGGGGGAAAGTATACTTAATTTTCTGAATAGTCTAAGTTTAAAAGTTATTCTTATTCATTCTGTTTTTTATTGAATTTATGAGGTGGCATTAACTAATAAAGTTATAAGTTTCAGGCATACAATTCTATAATACATCATCTGTATATTGTATTGTGTTTACTATCCAAAGACAAGTTTTTTCCATCATCTTTTATTCCCTCTTTAGCCTCTTCTATCTCCACACCCTCCTTCCCTCTGGCAATCACTATATATAAATATCCATATATCAGAGTGAATGCACATATATATCAAGTATTACTTTTTAATTTGTAAACAGTAGTTGCTAAAAATGAAAAAAAATACTTAGTTTCCAACCAAGACCTCTCCCAGAAACCTGCTTCTCCACAGACCCTCCATGTGATTCTGATGCTGCTCAAGTGTGGGAATTACTGCGCTAGAAAATCATTATGTACTGAAATGAGGCAGACATTCCTTACAAAGGTATTTAGATGTTGCTTGATACAGTGCTGTAGTTTATTCCAATATCATAATTAATACTGAAACGTGCATGATTCATCATTATTATAGGTCTGTTTTCAAATTTAGCATTTTATAATAAACACACAGCAAGAGCAATCAGGTATTTTACCAAAAGACTCAAGGGATCTATTCCTAGCAATTTATAACTAGAATTTGCTTTACAATCATCATGTTTCTCTCCTGTAACCTTGGAATTCAATCTGAACTGAATGTAGTATCCTCAGTATTTGTCAATACTGAAGACATTTATACACCTGCATCCATTACTTTTGATAAAAAGATGACATTCAAATAAAAAGACTAGAGAAGCTATGAATTAAATTATAGAGATATTGGAATAAGGAATATAAACATTCCCCACCAAGGAGTTACTAGAATATAAGGTTGTCTGAGAAATGACTATAAAGTGTTCCTAGAAAGTTACTAGGATCAGCTTGTGATGGATTTTATGTGCCTCACTAAAGGTTTTGGACATCTTAGCCAAAGGCAATATCTTAAGATGATTTTGGAGGATGTAATTGAAAACAGAGAGGAGTCAGAAAAATCCTTTGGAAATCACTGAGAAAGTTTCCATGATAGGTTATAATAACCTAGGATCTACCCTCTATTTCTTTGCTTATATATCTTAGTGATTTGGCATAGGTTGAATTTTTACTGTTTTGCTAACACTCCAAGAAGAGAATATTCTAAAAAGTAAATTTTGGCAAAAAGTAACACCAATGTAAAGGCATAAATGAAAGAGAAGCCAAATTTGGCCAAGTACATTGTGAGAAATTTGGGGATGAGGGTTCAGTAGAAATGCAAATTAATAAACTGAGTAAAACACACACACACCACACAAAAAGGAGGGCAGAAGATGATCTAACAGTAAAGTAGTCAAATTGCCTTCTGTATGACAATGCCAGCCAATGTTCTTCTGGGCCTGAGATTGAGAATAAGCTAAATTTTAGGAAAAATGTAAATGACAACCTAGCTTTATGATATTAAATGACAATTACCATGAATCCAGCAACCAGTAGATTTAGCCAGTGCAGGAAGAAAGGGGATGTGATGTGACGGTTTCAAAGAAACTTAACTCCCAGTCTACACGTGGATACTTATTCCATGCCATGGGTATTAAGAAAGCTGGTAGTCATTAACTTTATGGATTTACTTAAAAGTCTTCAATGGAATTTAAAGCTTGTGGATGACATGAATCAATTTTTTAAACTATCCTAGAACTATTTGTCACCTGTACCCTTAACATTGGATGGATGTGCTGGGTTGTAATTTTTTAAAGTAAAATCCTATACAATAAAGAGGTAATATGCAAATTGACCATCACACCCTTGCATAAGATGGCCACCCCCGTGTGGTCACAAGATGGCCTCCACAAGATGGCTGGCAGGGGAGGGCAGTTGTGGGCAATCAGGCCACCAGGGAAGTGCAGTTTGGGGGGACCAGGCCAGCAAGGGAGAGCAGTGGAGGGCAACCAGGCCAGCAGGGGAGGGCAGTTAGGGACAACCAGGCCTGCAGGGGAGAGCAGTTGGGGGTGACTAGGCCTGCAAGGGCGGGCAGTTTGGGGCAACTAGGCCTACAGGGGAGGGCAGTTGGGGGCAATTGGGCTGGCAGGGGAGTGGTTAGTGGTAATCAGGCTGGCAGGCAGAAGTGGTTGGGGCAATCAGGCAGGAAAGCGAGCGGTTGGGTGCCAGCAGTCCCTGATTGTGAGAGGGATGCCGACTGCCCTGTGGAATCGGGCCTAAACCACCGTTGGACATCCCCCAAGGGGTCCCAGATTGGAGAGGGTGCTGGCTGGGCTGAGGGACACCCCCCACCCCAGTGCACAAATTTTGTGCACCAGGCCTCTAGTAATGATATAATTTTGACTTAAGTTTGTGGTTTCTAATGAGCATTGAAAAGATTGTAAATTAAAATGTAGTCATAAACCAAAAAATAACTAGAATTTTATGAAAATTTTTATTGATAGAGCTGTTTTATTTTTCATTAAGAGCAGCACAATTTTATCTTATCTGCAACAGTAGAATATATGTGAGTGAGTAATCAATTTTAGAGTCAGCAGAGACTTTAGAAGCCATCTACAGCAATTCCTTAATTATGTAGAAAAGCAGCTGAAGCTGGCATGGGGTTGGAATCTTAGTGACTTGCCCAAGGTTATGTCATTGCTTTCCGGGCCTGGGTTCAGTGGTCTTTTCATTAATCCTTGGTCTTGGTCTGTGGATAGTACCAAAGAAGGACTCATGATTATGTGATTTAATTTTTAACAGACTTACTTTGTAGGACTTCAGGAATATTATGTCTGAGTGTCAAGCCTTACAGCACTCTAAGTAATAACCAAGTCTTGGTGTACATCAGTCAACATAGAGCTACTTTTTTTAGGTGTTGAAAAATGCTGATCTTTTATAAGCCCGAGAGGAAAATCTGGTTATATAGGATTATTATCTGCTCTCCACTTTCATATGTGTATCCCCTCATCACAGCTTGATTTATGATCCAGGGACTGAGCTGTCACTTGATGACTAAAGATTCTTAACTTATTCTCTTACAACTAAACATTGATTTTATCTTAGATTTAAATATAAATCTGAACTTACTTGCATTGAAATACTATTTTTAAATATTAGCTTATAACCAAAACAAATCTCATCTACTTTCAGTTTTTCAAGAACCAATGAATGTTTTGAGGCCTTTTAAAAATTAGTACCTCATTTTAATGTAACTAGTCCTAAAACAGCACTGTTATATTTTAGCCAATAAATCCTCTTTAAGATTTAAAATGTTTCCAAATTGTTTACTCTATTTTCTGAACTGCTAAAAAAATCAGACACTTTTTTTCTTTTTATTTGATACTTTTTACAGAAATATGTGGTGCTATTATGTGGCTTTAAAAATAATTTGATAATTACAAATTAGGATAACAAGTTAGTTCTTCAACAATTTTGAAAACCTAAAAATCAATAAGAAGTTTTATAACAAAAATATTTGTGGTAAAATTTGCCTTACTGATCATCCCTTTTAAAATAGATATGTTTTATTTTTTGAAATAAGTGATCTAATTCAAAGTAAATTTCAGGAGTGGTAAACATTTTTGGGAGGACTTAGGAAGAGGACTTTTTTTTTTTTAAGAAAGAAAAGTATATTAGAGTAGTATTAGTTTCTAGAATCTATTGAGTTCTAAATAGTTTATGCAGCATAAAGGGGGTTTGTAAAAATCTTTAATACATTGGAATTCATTTATCCTGTTGATTAATAACTGCTTGAATTTCTATTATGTTTTGGTCACTATCGCAGGCAGTAGAGATGCAAACAATACCAATAGCTAATATTTCTACAATGTGCTATGTTCTATTCATAGTGCTTTGTACAGATCAACTCATTTAATTCTCACGGCAATCCTGTGAGGTATTATTCTAGTTTTACAGAAGAAAGTAAGGCCTAAAGAATTTAAATAACTCAAACAAGATCATACTCTCAGTAAGTGGCAGAGGTGGGAATGGACACCAGGCAGTCTGACTCTGTGTATTATATACACGACCACTGCTCTACACTGCTTACCATTTGGTGAAAGAGACCCATCCATGGAGCATCAGCCACTATGCAATGACAGTCATCAATTAAGATAGACAGTAGGTACAATAATATCACATAAAGTAAGTCATCAAATTTAATATCAAGGGTTACAAAGCGTTAGAAATAAATAGGAATGCACCCAATATATGGGGCTGGGGACAACACTCACAAAGCACAGACTATAAAAAGACAGCATTGTATGTTGAGGTCATCTGAAGGCAGGTGGAGAAGAAGTAGGTGATGGAATTTTTGAAGTTAAAAAAGAGAGTTAGAATTATAGAGTGGATTATGAATAGCTTCATACACCATGCCAAGATGTTGGGATTCTCTTAGTGGAAAATTATATAGCAGTATAAGAATTAGAGAGTTTACTCTGTGACTTAGACAGGGGGTGCAAAGACAGTTGGTATATTAAGGTCATCAAGAAAGAGATCTGGCAGGGCAGAGATGGGAGGTGATAGATTCTGGGTTAATTACAGTGTCCTAAAAGAAATGGCATCAATTGGATAGAGGCAGAACGTAGATGGAGAATTAGAGATTCATTTCTATGATATTATTTGTGATTGATGATGATTGATGTGTATCTTATTTTTTCCTACACCGAAGTTTCTCAAATTTTAGAGTACATCAGAATCAACTGTAGCATGCCACCTCTATAGTTACCTCTACAATTACGGAGTGCATGCTAACAGTGCTGGTCCAAGGATACACTTTGAGAACCAATGTCCTGGGTCAATATTAAAAGGTTTACCTGAAAATTAATTTAAATAGCTTGATTTTATGAAAGTTTTATCATGTATTCCTAGTGTATATTTAACTTGTTTATGTATTATATGTATAGATAGATAATGATCATTATATACTGAAAAAATGAGAAATTAAAAAGGCTAAAACAAATATCAATAGCAGGGACCCATCACCTCACTTTGGAGACCTCCTAGTGTAGATAACAGATGGCATTCTTTATTTTGACCAATGGTGGTTTCCTGAATTTAAAATTTCATTTAACTTCCCTAAATGCATAAATACACCTTTAAGTGTATATTGATAGCAGATTAAACATTCTGTGTTACTGAAATATTTACCAGGTATCAATTTAAGTTTTTAATTTTTAAATTTTTTAATAATATATGTTTTATTGATTTTAGAGAGAGGAAGGGAGGGGAAGAGAGAGAGAGAGAGAGAGATCACTGTGAGAGAGAAACATTGATCAGTTGCCTTCCACAAGCACCAAACTGGGGACTAAACCCACAACCTGGGCATGTGTCCAACTAGGAATCGAATCCACAACCTTTAGGTGTATGAGACCATGCTCCAACCTATTGAGCCACCGGCGAGCACTCAATTTAAGTTTAATATGTGCTAAGATTTTTTTTCATATAATTAATTACTTCATATAAAACAGTCAGAATGCCAGAGTGATACAGATGGCACAGAGCATCACATATATCTCTAGAACATTCATAAATGTGACATTTTAAATGTGGGATTTGCACCTCATAATTTTGACAAGTTCTAACTCCTTTTCCTTTGTTAAACTTAGGACTAAACCTTATGGGCAAAGACATGCTCTGTGTTTTAACTTCAGCAATGCCAGAGGGTAGAGGAGGCCGGGGGAGGTCAGTGGGGAAAAAAAGAAAAAGAAAAAAAAAGAGACATATGCACTACTATTTGTAATACCTTAAACAATAAAATAAAAATAAACAATGGCAATGGGAATCAAAATGAAAATAAAAATAAATAAAAACTATTACTATAAAGGGAATGGGCAATTGCTGATTCATAAAAGCAGCAGAGAAGTTGATCCAGTTATCATGTCTGGGTTGTATGCCACTGAAAATAATTTGTGTCCAATTGTTTATTCCAAAATCCATTCTTTTTTTTTTCCTAATGAGAAGGATCCTTTCCTAATGAGATGGACACTGTACCCTGCTAAAAGAATACATTTCCCAGCTTCTAACAAATCAAAGTGTATCCATAGGGCAAAGTTTTGACCAACATGATGTAAGCAGGGGTGTGAGGCTTATAAAAAGATGCTGTTCAGGAAACCTGCCATTTGGGTGCTGACTGACTTGTGATATTAGAAAGAGAGCCACATACTGGGGTGGGGTAAGAGCCAGGAGGAGCCTGGGTCCCTGGTTATTTCAGGAAGCTGCCACAGCAAATGTAAACTGCTTACTTCTAAACTCTATATGAGAAAATTAGACCTTGTATTTTAGTGAAGATTTTCTAGGCCCCATTGCTACCAGTAAAATATAATTACTAACAAATATACCAGCCATATCTTATTTTAGAACAACATAAGTCTAGTATGGGTATATGTATAAATTCTGTATATAAACATGCTATTAGAAAAATAGAAATTAAAAAAAATATATAAAAATTAAATATTATTACATAAAATTAGCCAATTGATTTCATAGTCTGGGATATCCTGAAGCTTAAGAAATAAAATTCTTCCAAATTCTGTCTTTTTTTATGATCCACCTACTTTTCCCTTAAAAATAGTGAGTGGCCATTACAGAAGGCTGAAAGTGAGATTTTTTGTTTTTAAAATCACATATATTAAAAAATATATATTTTAAAAGGCAATATTGTTTGAAAGGAATTTTTCACTTGAGAAAGATTTCTATCCCAATTTGTTTCTATTATTTCACACACATTCCTAGGTATTTTAATTCATTTTACTCTGGTTCACAAAAGTAATCATCATCATTGTGGTGTTCATCCATGTGTTCTCTGCTTTATTGATTACAATTCCAAATCCTTTCTCATTCAATGA